TTTCAGTATTCTTTAATAATCTAGACATGATGTTACATGACATGTGTCTGAAGCGTAAGAATAAAATCATATTATGTGGAGATTTTAATATAGATATCTGCAAAAGCAGCAAAATGTCTGCTACTTTCCAAAACCTACTTCGCTGTTACAATCTAATACTAGGTACTCGCTCCCCAACACGTCTGTGCAGTGGAACCTGCATTGACAATATTATTCATAATATGAGGGGTAGCAGCTGTGAGGTTAAAGAATTTGCGATTTCAGATCATTCAGCACAAATACTTAAATGTCGAGTTAAGAAAAGCTGCACATTGTCTCATTGGTTCAGTTATAGACGTGATTATAGTGATGACAATATCAGGAAATTCACTGAATGTCTACGCAATTTATCGTTTTACGATGCCTATATGTGCTCTAATCCAAATGATGCATTCAATGAATTCTATAATCTGTTTAAGTTGTTCTACGACCTATGTTTCCCCGTCAATAGAATAAAAAACTCAATAATTAGAAAAGCAAAATGGATAACAACAGGACTAAAAAAATGCTCTAAGCGCAAGAGAGATATGCTGTGGGAATATAGAAAAAACCCGAACCTAATAAATAAAAACAAACTTAAAACATACACCAAAAGATTAAATCAAATAATCAAACAGACACAAATGGCACAAAACAATCACTTTATAAACACTGCTAACAACAAAAGTAAAGCCACATGGAGTATAATCAATAAACAAAAAGCAAACTACCCAAAACAAGGAATTGACAGCATAAAAATAGGCAATAAAATTATAGACCATCCAGAACAAATAGCAGAATCACTAAATAATAATTTTATCAATCAAATTGAATCTAGAAGTGACATCAATAATAATAACAATTTGACAATAATCACCAATCCTAATTCAATATTTGTGACACCTACAGTACCCTTCGACATAATAAAAATAATAAACTCGCTCAAAAATACGAAAAGTGCTGGATATGATGACATAACCACCGAGACAATAAAAGCCACAGCTCCTAGTATTGCCCCGATACTTAGCCACATTATCAATGGTTGCATTGAAACAGGCATATTCCCAGAAAACCTGAAAATTACTGTAATCTTACCATTATACAAAAAAGGTGACAACCAGGATCCCAATAACTACAGACCAATAGCGCTTAGTTCGGTATTCTCCAAAATATTTGAAAAGGTGTTACATAAAAGCCTGAACTCTTACTTAGAAAGTAACAAAATTTTAATTGACGAACAATATGGATTCAGGAAAAACAAAAGTATCGATTTAGCCATATATAATCTAATAGAACACGTCTTAACAAACGTAGATAATAGAACCCCTGTAGTGTCATTGTTTATGGACATGTCAAAAGCGTTTGACTTTGTAAACCATGAAATACTAATAAATAAGCTAGAGAAATACGGAATCAGGGGTAATATACTTGAGCTCATAAAATCTTACCTGACAAATAGAGAGCAAATTACATACATAAACAAAATCTGTCCCTACACAAAAACCGAAAAGACATATACCTCTACACGTAGGAAGTGTCTATTCGGAGTACCACAGGGTAGTGTTCTAGCACCCTTGCTATTTATTATATATATCAATGACATGCCTAAAGTAATTAATAACCCAATGATACTATTCGCGGACGACAGCACAATACTATTTAAGAAAACAAAAGATGACGAGACTTTCGAAAAAGATATAAATGACAATTTAAATAACATCATATCCTGGCTAACCAAAAATAACTTAAAAATTAACCTAGAAAAAACGACGTACATATCTTTTGAACAAAGAACTATTTATAAAAATCTAAATATTCACTACGGTGACCAAAAAATTTATGCAACTGATAACACAAAATTCTTAGGCATAAGTATTGACAAAAACATGACATGGAAAACTCACGTTGAAAATATATGCAAAAAGCTCAGCCAGTACTCGTATGCATTATACAACCTAAGAAAAGTGTCAAATCTTCCAACATTAATAATGGCGTATCATGGATATGTTGCATCCACTCTAAGATACGGACTCAAATTTTGGGGCAACTCGCCAAATAAACAAAATGCATTTAAAGCACAGAAAAAGTGTATCAGAGCCATATGCGGCATACAAAATACAGAGAGCTGTAAACCACATTTTCAGCGGCTACAGCTGCTTACGCTTCCATGTCTCTACATATATGAGGTAGCCACTTTTGTTAAAGCAAACCTACACATATATACCCATCCAAAGAGCACACGACACAGACACGAAATATGCATAACACCTCACAAAAAAGCCATATTTAATAACAACATTTTGGGTATGGCACCCAAAATATACAACAAGTTACCAAATGCTATAACTAACATCAGCAGTGTAGACGAGTTCAAAAGGTCCCT